TTATACTTATGCATCAAATTATTTTGCCCTTTCTTCCATAGACAAAATGAACTTTGAATCTGAAAATTTCTAAAGAAAAGGGCGAGATGTACGCTGCATTTTATTCTTTGGACACGAAAGGATATTTCAAATTCCAAGCATTAAGGTAGGGGTGTTTCGGCACTTAAGTAAGTGATGTAGGATTTATATATTTTCGTTTGCATTAAATGTGTTATTGTGTTGCTCATGATGGAATCACCGTTTGGTGGTTTAAACAAGAGATGAAGAGATGATTATGACAAATGAAATGGGGTTATCAAAGCCTAAGAGTAAGCGGACTGACTAATCACCAATTCGCTTGAAATTGACGGTGACACAATTGACCAAAGTTTGCATTTTGGAAAATATATATTTTTACCGTTTACTTAAGTGTTTCCTACTGAGTATTATTTATAGTACTCATCCCTACAAATAATTTTACAGGTTAAGATCGAGGCATGGCAATGGTTGGCATAGTAGCAAGTGTTCGGCAATCTCTAATTCTTTCAATTCCTAGTGAATATTTCTATTTATGTAAATATTTCATGGAACTTAGATGAACGTTTAGAAATACTTTTAATGTTTATTTTGTTCCATTTTTAGACGGTGCATGTTAACAAGAATTTAAAAGTGTTGGATTGATTTGTATGAGGTTTTATTTTATGCTGGGTGGAAATTTCAGTTTCTGTCCTTCTAGTTGAAAATAGGATAACTTAGGCTACAGTGCATGTTTTTAAGTGAAATCAGTGGGGCTTGAAAGGCCTATGAGTCTTCTAATAGTAGCCTTTGGAATTTCCCAAAAATATTAGCTAAAAATAAAGTTATGGCCGTTTTAGTAAACTGCATCGTGTCAAATCCGAGGTTCCTCTCCAGCATATTTGAGTAATATTTTCGTGCTTCAAACGTTATTGTCGAAACCCCAATTTTTTATATGTGGTACATATATGAATGATTTAGTCCCTGTAAAAATTTCATAAATTTTAATAGACATTTGCTAGGCCAAAAATATTTTTCTTCCGCTGTCGTTAAATCCGTAACTGTCGATTTGTCTTCAAATCTTTTACAAAAAATCAAATTTTGCTACATTTGCCTAAGTTATATAGATAACTACCTTCCATTATATTTTTATATATTTAAAAAAAAATTGGACTTATAAAATACTTTGACTAGCGTCAAAGGGGTTGAACCAAAGAAAGAAACGAATATTATTTTAACGCTTCAGTTTTCGAGAATTCGGGGCGTTCCAGCAAGTGTCAAACAACGTGTCGAAAATCAGTGTACAAATAGCAAAGTTCAATCGGTGAGGACCTTGCTATGTCTACACTATAGTGTACACTTTAGTTTAGATTTCGCCACGTGACATTACCTTGTTGGACAGTTTAAATTTCAAACAGTTTTCCCATTTAGTTGACATTTCACAACAATACAAGTGTCAAACAACGTGTTAAAATTAAGTGTACAAATTGTAAAGTTCAATCGGTAAGAACCTTTCTACATGTACACTATGGTGTACACTTTAGTTTACATTCAGTCGGTAAGAACCTTGCTATGTGGACACTATGATTTACACCTTAGTTTACGCTTTATCACGTGACATTTCACTGTTGGACAGTTTAAATTTCAAACAGTTTTCACATCCAATTAGCACTTGACAATAATGCAAGTGTCAAACAACGTGTCAAAAATCAATGTACAATCAGCAAAGTTCAATCGGTGAGGACCTTGCTACGTGTACACTATGGTGTACACTTTAGTTTACACTTTCCCACGTGACATTACCCTGTTGGACAGTTTAAATTTTAAACAATTTTTCCATTCAATTGACACTTGACAACAATGCAAGTGTCAAACAACGTGTCAAAAATCAATGTACAAATATTAAAGTTCAATCGGTAAAAACCTTGCTAGATGTACACTATGGTGTGCACTTCAGTTACATTTTACCACATGACATTACCCTGTCGGATAGTTTAAATTTCAAACAGTTTCCCAACCAATTGAAACTTTACAACAATGCAAGTGTCAAACAACATGTCAAAAATCAATGTACAAATAGCGAAATTCAATCAGTAAAAACATTGCGACATGTACACTATGGTGTACACTTTAGTTTACACTTTGCCACATGTCATTACCCTGTTGGACAGTTTAAATTTCAAACAATTCAACCATCAAATTAACACTTGAAAACAATGCAAATATCAAACAACGTGTCAAAAATCAGTGTACAAATAGCAAAGTTCAATTGGTAAGAACATTGCTACTTGTACACTATGTTATACACACTTTAGTTTACACTTTGTCACGTGACATACCCGGCTGGACAGTATAAATATCAAACAGTTTTTCCATCCATTTGACACTTGAAAACAATGTAAGCATCAAACAACGTGTAAAAAATCAGTGTACAAATAGCAAATTCAATTGGTATGAACCTTACTACATGTACACTTTTGTTTACACTTTACCACGTGACATTACCCTGCTGGACAGTTTAAATTTCAAACAGTTTTCCCATCAAATTGTCCCTTAACAACAATGCAAGTGTCAAACAAGGTTTCAAAATTAAGTGTACAAATAGCAAAGTTCAATCGGTAAGAACCTTGCAGCATGTACCCTAAGGTGTACATTTTAGTTTACATTCAGTCGGCAAGAACCTTACTACGTGTAAACTATGGTGTACACATTAGTTTACACTTTGTCACGTGACATTATCTAGTTGGACAGTTTAAATTTGAAATGGTTTTCACATCCAATTGACACTTGACAACAATGCAAGTGCCAAAAAAGTGTCGAAAATCAGTGTACAAATAGCAAAGTTCAATCAGTGAGGACCTTGCTACATGTACACTATGGTGTACACTTTAGTTTACACTTTACCATGTGACATTACCCTGTTGGAAAGTTTAAATTTCGAACAGTTTTCCCATCTAATTGACACTTGAAAACAATGCAAGTGTCAAATAATGTGTCAAAAATCAGTGTACAAATAGCAAAGTTCAATCGGTAAAAAGCATACTACATGTACACTATGGTGTAGACTTTAGTTTACACTTTGTCACGTGACATTACCCAGTTGGACACTTTAAATTTCAAATAGTTTTCTCATATAATTGACACTTTGACAACAATACAAGTGTCAAACAACGTGTCGAAAATCAGTGTACAAATAGCGAAGTTCAATCGGTGAGGACCTTGCTACGTCTACACTATAGTGTACACTTTAGTTTAGATTTCGCCACGTGACATTACCTTGTTGGACAGTTTAAATTTAAAACAGTTTTCCCATTCAGTTGACACTTGACAATAATGCAGGTGTTAAACAACGTCTTAAAATTAAGTGTACGAATTGTAAAGTTCAATCGGAAAGAACCTTGCTACATGTACAGTATGGTGTACAC